AAAATTATCTCAGTTATTATTAAAAAACTGATTATTTTTGAAAACTTTGCCACCCTGTATCTCAAAAGTTAAGGCGTTTAGGACATACGTCCATAGGACGTTTTTTCCTTAAAATGGGTCCAAGAATTACCTCCTTAAATATTAGCATGTGTTTAAGGAACACCCTGTAGAAATTGTTAGAAATACTAAAAGTATTTAGACCTGAATGTGGGGTCCATTTGATCAAACACGAAAGTATCTTCAAGAAAAGTGGTCAGTAAAAAATGATAAATATTGTAAGAACTCTTCACACAAGTTGGAGTGTTTACTATGGGAAAATATAGCCACACCTCCATGGTACTTTTTTCTCCGGCCAAAATTACCTACTATATCATAGCCGCTTATTCTAATATTTTTAATGTTCTCAAGAGTTTGCCAGGGTTCAGACAAAAGTACAAAATCGGGTTTATGTTCAGCCAGAAACGCATCAACTACATGGAGTTTGTTGGTTATACTTTGAATATTCAAATGGATGATTTTTTAAAACTTTTTGATAGTTGGACAAACCTGGTCAAACTCAGTAGTTATTAGACTTCTTCGTTCGTCTGCCTGGAGGCTTCCCGTAAACAATTTGCATTTTTTCATCATGCAAGACATTAAACACCAGCAAAAACTTTGAATGTGACTTCAAATAAAACGCATAAGCTGTAAACAATACTGTTTTTTGTTAACCAGGTGATTCAGCGTCACCTGACACGGCTACTTCACAGCAAATGCGATGACATGAAATTAATTAACTGACAAGGGATGTCAAAATGATTCATAATAGAAATAATAAATGTATCTATTTTATCATGAAAACAGGACAGTTGTACAAAAATCTTTGTATGATATTTGTGTTAAAAGTAAGTTTTATTTTTTCGTGAAATTCACCCACAATATAAAACATTACTTTCAACACTCATATCATAAATGGCTGTATCATTTCTTCATCGTCGTTTTGATAATGAGACAAAATATGTATCGTTTCGATTACGCTTCCATCTTTGATAAAACCCTAATATTTCTGACATTCATATATTTTTTCACAGGAAACAGAGAAACCTGGATATAAACATGAGAATTGGTGTTCACAGTGGCAGAATCATAAGTGGCATAATGGGTTCTGTGAAATATCAGTTCGACATATGGTCGAAAGATGTTGATATCGCTAATAAAATGGAAAGTGAAGGCTGTCCTGGGTAAGAAATAATACTGAAACATTTTCTTCGAAAATTTACCATCTTGAAATTCCTCTGACTTCCACAAAAATGGCCCCCAACTGGTAAACACGATTTCTCTTCGATTCGGAATATTTTTCTTCACAAGTGGTGAAGAAAGTGACGTTTTACATTCGTAAAACTCCAATCAATTGAAAATTCATAATTCCAGTGTGAGAAAGCCCTGGTATTAATTCATTATCATATGGGTGCTGAGGTGATAATTTACCCATTGTGAATCAGAAATTCGTCGGATTCAAGCTGCGACCTCAAAAACAAAAGATGCTGACAAAAAATAAGTAGTTGTCTCAAATGCACAGTCAAGAATTTGCGTACACAATTCATACCGACTGCGCCAATCATATAACAAACGAGATACTATCTGACTTTTCAGAAAACTGAAGACTTTCTGTAACAAAAACAACAGAATGAAATATTTATATATATCAAAATGCATGTTGGAACAGCATATCGACATAAGGGACTGATAGAGTTTCAATTGGTCAGTGCATTTTCGAGTCATTGAGCGTATTGTTGGAATTATGATTCTTCAAGATCATTTTACTTCCTTTCAGGATAATTTAAATTTCAAAACAACCGAGCAAAAGTAAACAGAATGTCCTATTGGAATTATGATGTTTTTTTAATTTTAGGAAAGTACATATAACTGATACAACTAAAAACTTATTAAAGAAGGAATATAACATTGTGTCAACAGATAAAGGAGAGAATGTACCTATTTTCAAAGAAAGAGGCATCCAAACTTATCTCATATCACCGGTGAGTTTCCATCCAAAAATTTTCTGGTATGTAGTATAAGTCTGATGGTTTTGCTTGGTTTATAATACTCCTGATTGGTGATGTATTCAAATATGTATAACCTTCCATCTCATAGAATAGGAAAACATACTGAACAAATGTAACGTGAGTTAAGGAGTTGAAAAAGTACTTCAACACGCATCCAATACTATTAGATTCAAATTATTTCATACAAAGTTGAAATAATACTCAAATCAGGAATGGAGTCGTATTTCGTGTAAATAATTCACCTCGGAATTGGAAATACCCAGCTGTAAGTCTTTAAATACTTGTATATTGATACCCTTAAAGTTGTCTGAAAATCTACGTATAGTGGGGTGTAGGCAACTATTAAATTTCAAGGTCAAAAGTTACAAAAATCAGTTTTTTGCGCTTTTTTTTTGTAAATATCTCATTTCCTATTGGTTTTTTGCTATTTGTATTCATCATAAATATTGTAGAATACAAAATTCTCTACAAATTTTGTTTGAAAAAATTTTTCATACGGTGAATCGTTTCCGAGATAGAGGGCGGAGAGCATGCGGTCACAGGATCACTTCAGGTCAACGGTGCCTCCGGTCGAAAACGCGCCATATATAGATGATGAACAAAGTCTCATGAAATCCATGAAAACCAAAGGAGGAGTATCTCGTGGTCGAAGTACGAAATAAAGTGTTATGTATAAATGGGTATATGCTATGTACGCCACAAATACTATTTGTGAGAAAATGGAGAAGTTCTGTAATATCTCCTTGGGGTCGACCGAGCAGCACGTAGATTCCAGAGACTCAAGAGTGAAAAAAGACAATGCTGAGGTAAATATACTATTTGATTGGTTCAAACTCCATGATACTTTTCCAAATACTACGCAGGTAATATCGATAACTTCTGGAATTGTTGGAAATGAGCAAATTAACTGCCACAGAGCTTACGAAATTGTATTAGAGTCTATGAAGAAGATCACCGACTTATCATTTAATGAAATAAAGTTTAAACGCTCCGAAAAAGTAATGCCGCTTTCCAGTGTTAACAAATCTGTAAAATATATGATTGTAAAGTTGCAGTGGATCCATTATTACTCTTCCAAAGAATTACTGTCAGCAAACAATTTGAAAGTAATCTTGAAGAATATCTCCAATATGAATTGAGTCCGTATCCAACAGCTCTATTTGATAATGATGGCATGAGAAAAACAACAAAATCGTCATTGTATGACAACATGAGCCCAATTGATTTTGTTCTCAATGAGAATAATTTGACGTTCATTATTGTTGGCGGATTTTTTTTTCATCATGTTGTATGGAGCAGAGAATATACTTTTTCTTTTATTTTTGATATGTATACATGAATTTTTTACAAAGGCATTACAGTTCCAAAATAATTGTTGTATTTGACGGATATTCAGACTACAGTAAAAACGTTAAAGCCATGGAGCAGCAGAGAAAAACTGTTGCACTTTCAAAAACGTATGAAGTCTGTTTCGAATAAACAATGGTTGTTCCAGTTACTCAAGAAAAATTCTTATCTCAGAGAGTGGAACTCAAACCTTATTGGCAGTCTATAATACCCCGACATCTGTGGGAAGCCTTGATCATTTTCGTTAAATGCATTACGTCAAGTCTACAAAACTTAATAAGCCTGTGCAGCTTTGAAATATTCCACCAACAAGTGTAGCTGCTCATCAACATTTCAAACGTGTATATTATCAAGTTCAAATTTGGTTAGGGCATGATTTGGAACCCCAGGAAGATTTGCTAAATACAATTTTCTGCAACTGCAAGAGTGGTTGTGGTTCGCGATGCGGATGCAGCAAAGCGGGCTTGCAATGCTCTTCAGCTTGTGGCCAATGTAATGGGCAAGCTTGTCTCAATGCTCTACCATATCAGAGCAACATTAACGAAGATGGAACCTTTGACCCCGAAATCATGGAAGAACTTGAGACAAATGTCGTTGAAGACGTTATTGAAGACCAGTTTGAAATTTACCAGCAGCCGGAAGACGACGAGGAAGCGGAAGAAGATGATTGAAATTATAAATTGTAGTTTTTGTACCCTTCATTTAATTTTTTTACTTTCAATAAAAATGAATGTACTGAATGATATTTTTTAATAAAAAGATTAATTCATAATTTATTTGTTTTTTTCCATCATGTAAAAAGTTATCAATTAGGTGAAAATTCAAATATAACTCCTATATTTCCATTAACAATTCCGCAATTACATGGGCAGGTAAGTGTTGTTAATAGTTATTTATGTATCAAGGGAATTAGGATGTCCTTAATTACCGATGGCAAAGTTTGCGTCCCGAGGGCCTCTGGCCCGAGGGACAGCAATTGCCTGAGGTTATTAAGGCTCATTAATTCCCGTGGTACATAGTCTGTAGAGAATTTTGTATTCTACAATATTGATAATGAATACAAATAGCAAAAAACCCATAGGAAATGAGATATTTACAAAAAAAGCGCAAAAAACTGAATTTTGTGACTTTTGACCTTGAAATTTAATAGTTTCGTACACCCTACCATATGTAGGTTTCGAGAAAACTTTAAGGGTATCAATATACAAGTATTTACAGACTTATAGCTGGGTATCCCGAGTTCCGAGGTGAACTTACTATAATGACTGGACTATATAGAACATATTTATTTTGACAAATGACATATGTAGTAACTAACCACAATACGTTGAAATTCCCCAAGGTGAGTAAAGAACTATTCAATTGGGATTTTGAGAAATGTTGATTTTCAATTGGTTAATTCAGGAATGTAAAGGAATATATATGTATGATCTATTCAATTCATACATTCTAAAAGAAGTCAATTCAAAAACTTTAAATAGGTTGGATTTTCTAAAAGATTCACAAATATATATTTACATAATAATCGCCTTTGTTTGAATACAAAAGACTAAGTTTCGAATTGATTGAGAATTAGTTGAATTTTAATCCCATACTTCACTTTAATCTTCTAGTCAAATCCAAGGAATAGTCGTTACGAGAACGACATGTCATGTAATCGAGGGATGAAACCACGGTTGTCAAAATTTTCGAAACAAAACTCATTGCCAAATGGTGTTTGGCTCAGCCAAATGCAGAGAAGTATTTCCATGTCGAATGAAGAGCTTATTGGCAGAAGAGATAATCAACAGTTGACCATTATAGAGGAGGCCAATAACATGAGAGCTGTTTATGAAAGAACAGACTCTGGGACGGACAAAATTTTCAAAAAAAGAGTCAGTAATAACTCAGCATCCATGTCTACAATTGAGGCAAGGCGTAGCACGAATACAATCAAAAGAAGGACGGCATTCATGAACAACTCCATTAAAAGGTATTCAGAACGTACTGAAGCAGTGAACGAGGAAATGGAAAAAACAATAAATTCTATTTCTTTCTCAAAATATCAGTGAGTATATACTTTACAGATCTATCATAAAAACCCAATTTAAGTTTTACTAATTTTTTTTATCAAATAAGTAATGCATTGATTCCTGATCAACTCTTGAATCTATTGTGGGCTCTATCCTTTCTTTAATATATATCCGCTCAGTAACGAATTCACCTCTGAAGGGATCAGTTGAATTTTTTGCTGAGTATACAACAATTATATACTTGAATTGAAGGGGTTATATTTTTAGGAGTGATTAATTTTTTGGGAAAGAAAGTTTTTGNCGATTAGCTCCTTAGAAATAGACCGTACTTGGCTACCCATCTTGAAGAAAAATTTGGATAGTGGCGGAATGGCAACAGATTGATATCGGAGAGCACCTTGTATTACATAGAATGTTTCAGTTGTTAATCAACAACATTGACATAATTTCACATTTCAAAACTTCTTTGCCATCAGCCGACAGGAATAACTGCAAATGTATTTGAATTTTTTGTTCATTTCTGAAGAAGGAGGCAGATTTTGGCATCCGAAACGTAAAGATGAGTATTGCATTATTTCTTAGCAATTTTTTTGATAGGCAAAATTGTTAAATACTCCGATTTAAGGCAGTAACTTATCGAGGTAAACTGAAAAGTTTGCCCTTTCTACACTTGCATGAAGTTCTCCATTATAATTTTCATATTTTTCAGATTGTGGAAGATGAAAATACCAAATAGAAGGTTGATGAGAAATTATTGAACAACCACTAGCCACAATAAAAGAGAGGGGTGTGTAAAATGTTGGTTGAATTAGCACGACGTATTTGTAAAACTGAGTCTTCCTGAGGGACTCAATCATTTGAAAAATGCGTTCAAAGGAAATGGGCACGGCGAAGGAAAATTTGAGCGGGCCATACGACCAAGGAAAAACTTTCCTTTTCTATGTCAAAAATGTTACAGACCGGATTGGGAGAACCTTAGAGAAACACGACGACGTGAAACCAATATTTAGGCTAACAAAAACTATAGGACAACGTCTAAGGTCAGCTAAGATCCACAGAGAACCTTTAGCAACACCCGGTATATATCAAATTCCTTGTCAAGTAATACATCGCAATTACATCAAAATCTGAAAAACAAGTATCAAAATTTATCTTCAATGCACTCAAAGTTTCGATTGCAAAATTGACGGGAAATTCAGTCTCTTTAGTGTGGCTGAATATTTCACAGGTTTCAAAATGTGTGGAACATTTTTTACGTAATTGCGATTGAAATAGTATCATTTTCTGCCTGAAAGATTTGATATTGGTGTATAAATCAGGGAGAAGCTGATTTTCTCCTTGCAATCTCAAATTCAGTTAATTCATATGATTTGTCAAATTGACATAGAAGGCTAACTTCCACATCCATTCACTATTTTCTAAATCGGCAAAA